CATCATGGATGGAAAAGACAAACTGGACATCATTATGCCTTGTGCAATTAAGCCTGCTGTAATTTGTGAACACAGAACGGTAGCATCCTTGTTTAATCCAGGCTCCCGTGATTGAGGAGCAGCAACCCCTTAACCAGTTCCCGGCAGGTGGCATGTACATACATGCTATGGCTGTTGCGGACAAAGTAGGTGCTAGCATCAAACACGATTCTTCCCACCCCATCTGCTCATTGGACGGAGCTTGTTTTTCTCCGATAGTAGCAGCATCATTTCTAGGGTAAAACTTTAAGGCAATAGCACCTAAAGTGGATAAGCCTCTAAAAATTTGACATTTCTTAAAATTATATCAAAATGCAAAAGTCTTGTGGTTGCACCTGTTGCCCACAAACTACCAAACCAGCTGGGCGCAAACAGGGGAAACTGTCGACATGTGCCAATAAACCTTCTACTATGTCCCCTTGACAATTTTATTTTAGCCAGTAATATTGAGTTAAAACTAGGCTTGCAGACAGTTTTTAACCTTATTATTTAAAGATCTGCTTTAGCCACAGCTAAGAGCAAAGAAGAATTTCCCATGTTACAAATTTTTTCCCTCAAGCAACTGACTATGCGCACACCCTCACGTAGATTCATATGGTGCCGAAGGCTTATGTCGTGATTGGGTTAATAACAATAATAAAAAAATAAATCATAACAGCAAAGATACCAATAACAGTATTAATAAAGCAAATTACAAAAGAAATAAATAACAAATATGCATATCACTAAAATCATTTAAATACAAATTTATAAAACACATCAAAAATAAGTTTTAACATTTGTCTGCATGCAATAATTATCATAAAACCAGTGTCAGAAGCATGCCTTTAATCATTTAAATTATTATCTTTTCATATGGTCCAAAGAAGTGTAAATTCAATATTTTCAACATTTTCACAAATTGAGCCAAGCCAAAGATATATGAGCCAATATTGCACTACTTCCCATACTACAGATAACAGAAGTTCATACAGTTAAAACATCTAGCAATTTCAACATGACATTTAAAACGCATTCAAGTTGCTATTCGCCACTTCTCATGAACTTCAACTGAAATCATAATCTGAGAAAAATAAGATTAAAACTATCAATTCCTATATATTTCTATTGAATTTCACAATAGTAGCAACTGATTAGACATGAAGTTACCAGAATGGCATTATAAAGAATAGTGATAATACCTACAGTAATACTAATAATAGGAATAATGACAGTAATAATAAGAATATCAGAATCTTGACAATGACGATAAAGTAATAGATAAATAACTTTCACATGAAGAGAAAGATATCCGAAAACTTACACACTTGATTTCGTGTGTTCTTGCATGTGCATACTTACGCGTACGTGCATGTGCTTGCATGTGCGTACTTGCGTGTAAGTGCATGTGCTTGAATTTTTGTTAGCATTTGTATGCTTGCATATGCATGTGTTTCTCTGTACCTGTGCCTGTATCTGTGTGTGTGTGTGTGGGTATGGGTGTGTAGGGGTATGGGTGTGTGGGGTATGGGTGTGGGGGGTATGGGTGTGTGGGGGTATGGGTGTGGGGGTATGGGTGTGTGTGGGGGTGGGTGTGGGGTATGGGTGTGTGTGGGGGGTATGGGTGTGTGGGGGGTATGGGTGTGTGTGGGGTGGTGTGTGGGGTATGGGTGTGTGTGGGGTGTGGGGTATGGGTGTGTGTGGGGGATGGGTGTGTGGGGGTATGGGTGTGTGGGGGGTATGGGTGTGTGTGGGGGGTATGGGTGTGTGGGGGTATGGGTGTGGTGGGGGTATGGGTGTGGGGGGGTATGGTGTGGGGGTGGGTATGGGGGGTGGGGGGGTATGGGTGTGGGGGGTATGGGTGTGGGTATGGGTGTGCGTGGGTATGGGAGTGCATGTGGGTTTGGGTATGCATTTGTCAGTATATATGAGTGTACATGATGGTGTGTGAGTGTTCATGTACATGTGAGGCAAACATGTGCATGTGTGTGGAAGTGTGTGCATGTGTGTATGCATGCACAAGTCTCTTTGAGAAAAATAATATATATACATGAAATATTATACACCACCACCCATGCATGACTTACCCTTTGCAGTCCCATGAGGATCAGTACAGTATCTACATCCTACAAATGAACTCAAATATCTAATAGCAAATACAAAAAAATAAATAAATAAATAAAATAGGAAAACAAAGGCGACAACCGCAATTAGGCAAAACTCACCCCCTGCAGTCCCGAGGGTCCTGGCACTGCGAGGTCTTGCTCCAGGTGCCCCGCCTCCGAGACATCCGGCTTAGTCTCCTGCTCGTCGTAGCCCTCATTCATGTAGACTTCAGGGGCCTCAGGGGGATCGGCAACCTCCTGCTTGATGACGGGCAATGCGCTGGATGACTGAGTGGGTGACGAGATAGGTGGGTGCACTTGGTGCGCCGAGGTGGGAGGTAAGGGGCTTGTGGGAACTTGTGGTGTCCTGGGGGTCTGGGGGGGTGTGGCTACGGACTGGGGTAGCGGAGGCACATGACTCTTGCTGCCGCCGGCTTGTGACGAGGACTGAGGTTGTGGAGGTTGTGCCAAGGTGGGCTGTTGCTGGAGTCTCTGCAACAGCGCTGGCTGGGGTTGCGATGGGGGGGGCAAGGAGGGAGGCGGGAGGGTGAGATGGGGTAATCTACTTGCACTACTGTTACTTGATAAATTATTTCCTCTGTCTTCATCTACTAAGTGTCTTTTCTTCTTGACAGGGGGACTCCCCTCCCTCTCCCGCTCCTCCGCCACTCTTCTAGGCGTCTTCTGTGGCTCATCATCTGGTATGGCTAGACCTTTGATTCTAAGGCACTCGGCGGTTTTTATAAGGCTCGATAATTCAGACTGAGCAACGTCAACTTGCCCAAGGTACATGTAGTCTAGCAAATATTCAAGATCTTGTCTCCTTACATCTTTAAGTACAATGACAATGTTGTTGCCACTCGTGGAAGTGAAGATGTCACTGAAGTACTCACTACACGTTGATAACACAAACTTATGGGCTGGGTATAGTCTCCCATCACAGGCCAATGTCACATCTGTGTACGTGTGCTGGAAAGTTTAAGAGATTAAGTACATCACTGAAAGGAAACGTCTTAAAAAATATGTATTCTTACCTATACAATATCATTCTCATCCATATTTCAGAAAAGCAGTACTCTATCAATAACTGAATTGTATATCAATTCTCCTCTTATCATTCCACTGTTTCATGTAACTAACCTTTTCCCTTAAGATGGAGAGGACTTGGAAGAATGTGGATTTGTGGTTGTTCCACTTTAATGACAGGAGGCCCTCCTCCATGTCTCAAGCTGAAAATCAAGTCATTTCATTAAAATCCTTCTCACAGTTGTACAAAGAAAAAATGTCTGAAATAACGTACCTCGCAGTTTTATCCACAATCAATCATCTTTCACCATATAAATATTTTGCAGTATAACAAATTATAAAAAGGCACATGTAATAAAACTTATTTGGAGCAGTCAATGTCTAAGAATACCTGGCTATCTCATGCCAGTTTTAAGTGTACCAACTCTTCTAACATAACAATTTCTTTTACATCAAACATTATGGTAAAGCATTTTGCAACTGATTATTCTAGTTAATAATAACAATAAAAGTAATAAGAAGTAAGACTTAATAACAACAATTCCCAAATACTACTTCTCCTATATCAGCAAATCAGAGAAAATAGCTATCTATTCTATTTTTTTCATGTTTTTTTCATAAAATGTTTGACCTTGAGGACATCACTAATAGCTTCAAAAGAGATTTCTGCACAAACAACTTTACCAAAAAAACACACTAAAAACACTACCAGAGATGATGAAACACCTTCTTAGTCTCACTCCTCACTCACAACTACTGTTGAGTAAAGATTTCCTACTCTAACCTCCTCAATTCACTGATAAATCCTGATGCTTATCTTTCAGATAAACTGGATTTTTATCAGGCCAATACCTTCAAATTTTTTGTTATAGTAATAACAAAAATAATACCATTCATGCTACATAAGTGTATCAAAAATCCCCTTGCAAAAGATAGAAATAGAAAACGTCACTTCACTCTCCTTTAAGGTTATCAGTGACAGGAAACGTTCGAGTGTTAATCTCCAGTTTGTCAACTGCCAAATTATTACACTTTCTTATCAAGAGATATTGTGACTACCTTTCCATAATGTATGGAAAGATGGTTATTCAACTTTGGCAACAGACAAATAATGAAGCACTGACAAAATTCTTAGTTAAAATACTAACGACAACTTCACACAAACTTTGTAGTAACACACCTCTGACATAATGCAACATCCTTGAGAGAACAAAGTTCGTCAGTTATGATCGGATATTCGTTATTTTTTAATATGTAATACATAAATTTAAAGTGATAAACACCACCAAGTTTCGTATCATTTGGCTAATAAATAATAAAGTTATTAACGAAAAACAAGTTTTTGAACAATCAACAGCCTCTTAAAATTGGCATTTATCCATTAAACAAATTTGTTGAAAAAATTACCACCTATAATCAATAGCAATACCTAAAATTTGCAATAACCAGTTTTAAATTTTGTTTCAGATTAGTGGGAATCTATTTTTTTTCTAAATGCCCTGTCTTTTGAACATCAAGATATGATATATAGACTACTATTACCTAAAATGAAAATTTTCTCTAAGAAAACCATCACAAATATATTCAGCTTTTAAACGATCCAAACCCTATTAGAATCACCCAAGTATTTATGGATGAATTTTAAAAATGCTGACAAATGTTGACAAAAGTTTAGTTTTGAGATAATGGGCTCCAAAATTTTGGATTTCCCTCCATTTTTTTTTTCTTTCTTTTTTTTAGAATTCTAATCTCTGTGGCAATCTTGCTACATTCACATGGTATTCTGAAGTGTAGCTGGTACACTGTCCCCTCCTTTTGCAAAGTACTAATGGTAATAACTGCACATAATTGTGGAATTACCGCCTGGTAACACAGGTTTTCCAGTACCTAACCTGGCCACGTGAGGTATATAAATGTATAAAAAACTATTGCAGCTGTGATTAAGGAGTATTTCTGATCATATTACGGTTATTAAATAATAGAATAACTTCTACAGTTAGTATTGTCCCCTTACTTTGTTATATGGGCCTACTCTGCAATATGGTGTTATGGAGGTAAGAGCTGACAACCTTTCTCTCTGATTTTCTGGTGGAGTTTTGTCTCCCAGAGCCCCAGGCTTGGCGATCAGCTGATGGGTAAACAGAGTTGCCAGCTAGCTACCAGAGAATTCCAAAATAAACTGAACAAAAATACGGAAAAAAAAATTGTCGAGTAAATTTTCACGGACGCAGGGGGCGGGGGGTCGGGGGTCAGAGATTTAGTCACAACTCCTTTAATTTTACATATTTAGCAAAAATTACGTCACGAGATTGCCAAAGCCCACTAGATTACTGGAGATTTTTTTTATTTTTCGAGTGTTTTTGAAAATTTTCGTTACGACGGCCCCCTTAAACCCGTCTCATTCCTCAATCCAGCTTCATGAATCCTTTCAAAAAGACTCATATTCACAAAACTTCAGAACACATTTCTGTAGCAAAGTCATTCAAATGATTGTTAACTTTAATCCAGCACAGATACTAAAGGATTAGTATCAGAGGTGACTTGCAGCATGATTTTACAGTAGTAAATGGTATTAACTAAGACACTGTGAAAAGCTTCAGTCTACCCTTTAACTTTTAGTTTTGTCTAAATCTGTGAGAAGCATAACATATGAAAACAGTTTTACCATAAAATATATTACCATTTGGCTATGGATTTCTTGAAGAACAATGATAGGACACAGACTCATAGCCTTATAACTTGGTCTATACCCTCTATGAGAAGAACATGTTTGCCAAAATTGTAAACATAGCATTAGGGTGAGTGGAGGTGTTTCCCCACACTGTCTGAGAACATTTCTTAACAAACATTTACAGTAGATACCAGCAGACAAAGGAAGAAATTTATGGCATCTGTGGCATCCTTATCTCCTTCACTTCTATTCTTCTTTTTACTTTTACATGGTGCTGTAACTATTTTTTGCACAATGTTTTGCTTAGAGTAAGAGAAATATGTATTCAAGGATGACTACATGACTTGTGTTATCAAAATGATAATAATTTCTATATATTATAGCACTAGAGGTGTGCACAAAACAGTAGAATCTTGTCAGATTCCTCTAAACTTGAGCATTTTATATTTCATATAAAATAATTTATATTCTATACAATAAATGCAAAACATTTGGGAAACTTTGACTGCAGACTCAAGCACCTGCCACTGGTCTACGTACTAATAGTCATAGCACAGCCAACATATAAGAACCAAAGAACAAAAGGTACAAGGTGGAAAAAATAAATAAAATAAGAACATGGATTTCAAAATATCAATATTTACCAAATTCTTGAAGTTCATGCCCCTTGAAACAAAAAAATGCAGGAAACATGAATAACAGATGTCTACATTCTAGCCATGGAAAGAGGCTAATGCCACACACCAGTCTACCAGTATGCTGTTGAGAATATATTGATTTACCTTCTATATTCATGAACAGATAATGGCTGATGGAAACCCTACCAAAGCTAAGCATCTACATATTTTGACACTAACTAAAAAGCTGAAAATATTAAAAAGTAGTAAAAGCAGTGAAAATGCAGCTGATACTGGGACCACCATGTTTTATTTTGTAGTGAATTCTTTAATATCTAAATATTCTTGAAGAAATGCCAGCACAAACTTGGGAGTTTCATCTTTCTTTCCTTCTTTTCTTTTTTCTTTTTTTTTATCATTTCATACATTTAATACATGACAATCCTCACCCAACCATCTCAACCACCCCATTATCCTTTCAAAAGAACTATTGTAAAAACAAAAGAGAAGATGAATGATGTAATACATGATGAAGCCCTCCCATCTACCCGCACATAACCCGATCCTCTTTCCCATCGCCTCTGCCACACACTAATAGCAGATACCTAAACATTGGGATATCGTCCGAACCTTAAAATCCCAATCAAACCTTTCCTACCTTATTCCCTCAACAGGAGGAAAAGGCTCCCCTTATACCCCTTTATAATCATTTTGTGCCAACTTATAGAAAATGGAACATTAAGAACTCCAGCTGTGTGCAAGTGTTGTGGACTTAGTCCTGAGCGGTGATATGTAACAGATATTTTCCTCCTTCTGAGGTAAATATGAGGCTACAGCTGCTATACCTGTGTTGTTTACAAGTTCTTATGCTCTATAAATAGTGGTGTTCATTTCCTTCTATCTTTGTGCTTCGCCCTCAGTAACACTAAGCTGCATTTCTCTTTAGCATGAACACTCTTCTTAGTATCATCTTAAGAATATGAAAACAAAGCATATAGTTGCACAAAACACTGGATAGTGCAGTCTCAGCCCACATTACACCCTGCTCTCTGGTCCATATTAATGACAAAAAACAGGGACTCCCTGCATATAAAAAAATGGAATTGGTCAGACCACAATTTTAAGTGATAGAAGTTTGTTTACTTCTGCATCATATGATTATCACTTGATCCAGTCCTACTCTGGACAATTACATAATACAGAATTCAAGCTAATACTCTGCAATAATAGAAAACAAAGAAAATATAATTAATATAAAAAATTCTAAAATCTCAAAAGTGAGTTGTAATTCTCAAGAATTATTAAAAGAAATTACCATAACCTCTACACCTTGCTCTATAGCAAACAAACTTCCACCACATGTATCCCGGTCAACAAGATCTTACATCAGTATCTTATTTGACAATAAATTGTCTGGTTTGGAGGTTTGTTGGCTTTTGCTGTGGCAACAGCTGACTGCCATTCCTGTTACAAAGAAATAAATATGAAGTTCCTACAGACTGGAAAATAACACCAAATTGTCATAAAATATACACACTACTATTTTTGGGAAATTTTTGGAAGGCACCTGGCATCTGCCACTGGCCTCCTTACAATCTCATGAATACCTAACACTCCAACAGCAATTAAGTTCTAGATTGTAGGTTATCCAGCAAAGATTATGGGTTATCTACCTGTGAATTGGGAGAGAACACATCTTTAGGTTACAAAACATTACTTTGGAAGCCACTGCAGGTGTCTTCTAAACCATTACCTCATCTCTTTTGACCATCATCACATCTCACTATCTTACATAAATTCATTCTAATTCACCAGCCATTATCACATTTTATTTCATTATTATTCTTATCATTTACACACAGTTCATATACACTTCATCCATTATTCAAATCTATCCTTATTATCATGATATTATCACTGCAAAACCTTACCAGACAATTTTGTTAACTCCCTCTCCCCCTACCCTTTTCAGACCTAGCACACACCCACACACCTCCCCCACCCTTCTCAACCCCAAACATATCCCCCCTACCTCCTTCCCCTTTCTCGACCCCCAACATATCCTCCCTATCCCCCCCATCTCAACCCCCACCCCTACCATAAAATAGAAAATTCTTTGCAAAACGAGTGGACTGCCTCCCCCCACTCCCCCACCCCTTCAACCACTGCAACAGTTGAAGCTGGGATGAATCTCAAACGCTTCCCTCCCTTCCCCCCTCTCCCCTGCTCCCCACCCCCTTACTCACCCGAGAGCCTCGGCATTACTCACTCGTTATTCACTAATTCCTCGTTAATTGACGGTCGCAGTTCCCAAGCACGCACACAAGCGATGAAATGTATTCGAATGTCACCCACTCACCCGCGTCTGCCTCGTGGATGAGTCTTATGGCGGGGAGATGAGTCACCGAAGATGAGTCACGCAACTACGCCTCACTCCCTGACTCACCCGCTGCCAGAGCCTCCCGGATCCCCAATTATAAAACGTTCCTCTTCACCTGGCAAGGTCACGGGGAAGCAATAACCACCTGAAACGACTTCGAATAGTCGTCTTGCAGCCTCCGGGGCGTAAATTGATGCTCGGGGAGACCAACCCCACCCGAAACATCCCAAAAATCCGATTTTTTTATCTCCGTGATCGCCATTGCGCACCCACACCCATCCTTCCCCCTCCTCTTTTCAATCCTATTTTCCGCAAACGTTTCATCCCCCCAACGTTCCACTCGCGTCGATATCCACTCTAGCGTCTTACCTGATTCAATTCTCGCCGCTGATCAGGCTGTCAGGCGGGCAGAAGAGGCATAGGAGCGATTTTTTCCTCTCAATTCTCCTCAATGTGTTCCATGTTTAGGTTCTCAAGGACAGGTTCTCATGATGGCCGATGAGGGAGAGTTCGTTCTTTTAAAAACATTCAATAGCCTTATAAGTGGTCTTTTTTGCTTCTCTCGTCTTTTGTAAAGGGGTCAATAGATGCCTTTGTTGGCAAGGGTTTGTTTTCCGTTCCATACGCGACTTTTAGGGGTTGAAAATTGTAAGGTTTATAAAATGAGGATAGGCAGCAAACGTTGAAAATTCTTGTTATGTTTCAAACACCAGAAGTGGCTGCGACTTGGGTTGAAATATGGTATTCTATCCCTTTAAACACATCAAAATATCCATATGCCCATATCAAAGAAGCTAAAAATCAATTCAAACCTTCTATATTAATATCTACAACCCAGCGTAAAAGAGAAAAAATCAATGACACGTAATATCAAGATACATCCAAATGCAGCGAACGCGACTGGAAACGTAACGTAACGTTGCCAGATGTTTCTCGCCGGTTCCAATATTCTAGGCACTACACGTTGCCGGAATTCATTTTTCCCATTATTATAGCCACCTGAATAAAACACAACGTCGCTCATTACTGGTTTCGACCGATAACATATCATACTTTTGTTCCTCAATGAAGGTTTTCAATAACACGGAGATGAAAAATAAGCTCAGGCCTCTAAATTTTCAAATACATTGCAAATGGAAATAACCCTGATGACGGCTTGGACACGTGTACTCCAATGATTTTTAACAATCACCTAATGGAGGGGTTTGAATGGCACTCTTGACGGGGTGGGATAGCACATCTCCCCACATGTAAAATCTGCCTCTACGATTCTATTAAATTAGCCTGTTACATATAAAATGAATACCTGAATGTGTGTTGCCAATTCGTATGGCGTTCAAGTAGATACCCTGATAGCATTACCAACCCCGATGGAATCTGATTAAATATTCCCGACCACCTGCTTACTGCCTTAATCCCCTTGAACCTTCGAAATCAATAATGATAAAACGTCTATAGAGTAAATAATAGTCTGATGATTCGAGGAAATGACGTGCAACTAAAAGTAGGAAAATTCGTACCACAGGGACTTGGCTACACTGAACGGATCTTGCACAATACGTCGTGCACTTCTGTCTTTTGAGTGACGTAAAATTTTCTTAGAATGTTCTGGGAATTAAAAAAACACGGTTCCCACCATGCATTTTTCTCAGCATTCATGTTTGAATAGTAGCGCATGAACTGCTTTTATTTACTTATGAACCTTTAAAATAAAGACGGTTGAAATGGGTTCTTTCAGTCACGTAGATACATTTTTAAGAGCGTTGTGGTTGAATATATGTTGAGTTATTTGTACAAAGAACATAATACTTGTTAGCAACTTATTCTTAGCATCCCTTTAAAACGTTTAGACTGACAATATTCACTGGAATTTCCTAGGAAGGTTGCACATCCGTATGAAGTACCCTCTAGAGAATACGTTATGTGATGCCCATATCAGTCACTGGCCTATGTTATGAAATTCACTTGCATGCATACAGAGTTTTAAAACATCTTCGTAGGCAGAATCTCTCTCTCTCTCTCTCTCTCTCTCTCTCTCTCTCTCTCTCTCTCTCTCTCTCTCTCTCTCTCGCTGTCTATCTATCTATCTCTATCTATCTATCTCTATCTATCTATTTATCTCTACCTATCTATCTATCTGTCTCCATCTATCTATTTCGTTCATTCTCTCTCTCTCTCATTCTCTCTCTCATTCTCTCTCTTTCTCTCTCTCTCTCATTCTCTCTTCTCTCTCTGGCTTTCTCTTATTCTCTCTTTTTCTATCTCATTCTCTCTCTCTCCTCTCTCTCTTCTAAATATTTGAATGAAAAGGTAATAAAAAAAACGTAAATATACGTTTATATCAACGAAAAACAAAATGTGATAAACGAATGTGAACGTTTTAGTGAAGCTATTATGTACGAGACACGTAATCTAGGGAATAAACTTTATCTTAAAGTTTATCCGTTATCTCTGTTTTTTTTTTCTATTTCAGTTCAAATATGTCTAACCGATTTCCAGCCAGTAAAGGAATTACCGCTGAGGTCGTGATCGCGTTTAATCAGTGCTTTCCTTACAGCATGCTCGCTTTTATACACAAACGCACAAAAATGGAAAGAAAGATATAATAAAGATACACAAGGGGACACACACACAAAAACATACACAAACGCACATACATACATACATACATAAACACACACATACTCCCACAAACCTACGCACACACAACCGCACATACGTACATACATAAACACACACGTACACCCACAAACCTGCACACGCACACACACGCACACACACAGACGGACACGCATACATACACAAGCACACATACACCCACAAACGCACGTACGCCAACGGAGATTACACCATTCTATCTACGGAAAACGTTCTGGCCATCCTGTGGAAGCTAACGGATTCGAATAAACGTCCACAAGGTTAATACTGATGAAAGTAGTGGTGATAGAGATAATACATGATAATAACACGGTGAAAACATTTCCTCACTGATTATGGTAACTGTAATGGTAAGAAATGGTAAATGATAATAATAATTGTAATGATAACGTCAACAATGATAATAGTAATGATGAGGATAACGATAACAAGTATGTTAGTTTATACAGTCATAATGGTGATAGTGCTATTTTTGCTATTGATGATGATGATGACAATAATAACAGCAATAACAACAGCGATGATGATGATGATGATGATAATAATAAAATAATAATAATGATAATAATATTAATACCACTACTACTACTACTAATAATAATAATAATAATAATAATGATGATGATAATGGCAACAACAGCAAACCATCTGTAATACACATTTTCAGCCAAAATAAGGTATAACAGGTAACTTGAGTTTGAAGATACATTAAATAAGATTAGGTAATCTTTTCCAGCATCTTGCGTTCAAAAAATACCTCCAGTGAAATGGCGTTAATGGTTAATGGTTTAAACAAATACATGTGGTAGATATCAAAGGTCATATAAGACGAAAGGATGTACAAAATTCCGTACTAGTAATAACTGCTTTTGTCTGCCCTCTTCTCTGTATATAGAAAACGGAGTGAGTTAACTGATATCACACAATACAATTTTTTTGTGACTTTTCAATACTCTTCATACTCATTTAGTATATGTATTGGGTTTCACTTGTTCATTTTATATTTGTTCAATGACAATAATGTCTGTAGTATTTTATGTTGTCTAACCGAGCCTGGAGGTTAAATATTCTTACTAATTTGGCACTGAGAGATAAAACAAAAGATTTGTTTGGTTTAATCTGGTTTGAACATGACTTAAACATTTTCAACCCGTGCCCACTCTTCGTATTCGTGATCTTACACACAGGTTTTATGTGTGAATATTTATAAATGAATATATAAATATGAATATATAATATAAATATACTTAGATTCATCTATGTGTGTATATACATAAGCGTTTGTTGTGCGTGTGTGTGTGAGGGGGGGGCGGTGTATGTGTGTGTGTGTGTGTGTGTGTGTGTGTGTGTGTGTGTGTGTGTGTGTGTGTGTGTGTGTGTGTGTGTGTGTGAAAAGAGCAAGTTAAACCGACCTCACGTATTTACGTCAAAACATTTATCCAGAAATACTCTAAGAGTGTATAATTATTTCCCTAAATCCCGATTCAGGCGAAATGTGGAGTGGAATTTAGATACATAATTAGCACATTTGGTGTTTGGGTTCAAGCGTGCACACCTGTTCATACGCAAAACAGGTGTTCTCAGCGAATCTGCACCTGTCTCTGCCATTCACCACACGTTATAGGCCTATACATTCCTATTCCAAACTTTATTGGTGAAATTCTGCATATTGGTCTATGCTTCTAAATAAAATATCAGCTTTATGAGACAGCAACAAAGTGATACACCAAGTAATGACGATGATACTGTGATATCAATACTGAAGATGAATATGGCGGTGATGGCAATGATAATAATAAAGTTGATAGTGGTAAGAACAACGATGATGATAATGATAGTACCGATTACTGCCGCTTATGCTAATGTTAATGATAACAGTGATAATGATGATTATGATGACAATGATACCAGTAACAATATTGTTATCATTATTATCATCATCCTTATTGTTGTCATTACCAATAGTGATTATAATAATATTTATTGTAATGATAACAATGATAATGGCAATAATGATGATAATAACAGTAGTAATAATGATAATGATGATAATGATAGTAATAATGATAATGATAGAATAATAGTAATAAGAACTGCAGTGATAATGACGTGATAGTAATGATGATAATGATGATGATGGCGATGATAATTAAAATGGTAATGGCAACAATTACAATATAAATAACAATGATGATTATGAAAATGGTATTCTTAAAAATAGTAATAGTAATGATGATGATACTGATAATAATGACAAGGACATGAATAGCAGTTAATCTGATATGTTACATGAATACGCCTATGAACATAAATATGATACGAATAATCTAATCTCGAATTATGATTTTATATTTTTGCTTGTAGTGCGAAAGTATGGAATAATATTTCAAGCGATATAGCGATAAGGAAGTAATTTTTAGTTTACCCTGAAATCCGTTCTCTATTATGTGATTAAGTGCTAGGATAGACTTTAATAAACCAAATGAAAAGGCCATTTTTTGTTTTCTCTTTTTTTTACAATGAAAAAAACTAATTTAATTTGCTATGTAATATAGATACCGGTGTGCCTATGTGATCAAGCGCCCGAACATATCTTTTAACATACTAGTCATATATATTCATAATATTATGCCATGGGATACACCAGCAAATCAATCAAAGATGTGTATCACAGAAATTTCACATTGAAATATGAAATGATAACGAAGCTGAAGGTGTATGTTAGTCCTTGATTCCATATGTGCTGGAAATCAAGTTTTGCACTATTGTCGTATTCTCTCTCTCTCTCTCTCTCTCTCTCTCTTTCTCTCTCTCTCTTCTCTCTCCTCTCTTTGTCTCTCAGTCTCCCTCTCTCTGGGTCTCTCTCTCTCTCTCTCTCTCTCTCTCTCTCTCTCTCTCTCTCTCTCTCTCTCTCTCTCTCTCTCTCTCTCTCTCTCTCTCTCTCTCTCTCTCTCTCTCTGAAAATTTTTGGATTTTTTTAATAGCTTGAACAAAACAAGAAACAGAACATTGTTAAGGAATTCTCAACACCGAGATCAGAAATCCACACCAAGGAAATGCATAATGTATAAAACCAGAATTTCATACATCGATTAACATCAATGGAATAATTTTGAGAAGCAGCGAGTGAAAGGAATTTGCAAGACAACGTGATGGTAGCTGATAAAATAGGCAAAAAATAGGCAATGTGATCATTATATCATTATTGCAAAATGAAAGAGCGCATCCGACTTGGACTGAAATGTTTGTTAAGTGTTCATCCCTTTCAGTTGTATTGTGTTATGCAAATGATTGATAATGATTGACGTAAGAATTATTATTTCATGATTAGCCTAATTTCCGTATATGTATATATGTATATATATATATATATATATATATATATATATATATATACATGAATATATATATGTATATATGTATATATATGTATATATATATATATATATATAATATATATATATATATATATATATGCATGTGTATATATACTAAGTATATATATACATATACATTTATACATAT